ATTTTGTTTTTGGTGTATTTTGTTTTGTTTTTAGTGCATTTTGTTTTGTTTTTCGTGTATTTTGTTTGGAAGTCGGTTTTGTTTTTTGTGTTTGTGTATACCTGATATTTAGAAAAAACACGTTTATAAGGAATCGTGTCCAACTTTTACGTTACTACCATATATTAATTTAAAAAAAAGTTTTTACGCGAGTTCTTTGACCTGTGACGTCACGCAGTCATGGCCGCTAATTGCTTCTGTATTTAGCTTTTGCGTGACTGCACTCGAATGCTACAATGTTTACATTATACATAGAAAAAAATTTGAGCAACAAAAAATAAGCACAGTATAAGAGAAAATTAACAATATCAGTACTCTCGCTTTACTAATTTAATCTGTAAAGAACACACAAGGGCGCCCCCTCGTGCCAGCTCTTCTTTACAAATATTGGCAACACAAAACTTTTAGTTACTAACCACAGATCTTTTTCTCACTTTAGCATTTGTTTCAAAAGTTATAACGACTAATGATTATAATTTTAAGTAAAAAATAAACATCGCCCAGGCATATTTATTGTTGCGGCAAAACGAACGCCATTCGGTAAGTTCGGAGGCGCGCTGAAAGATGTACATCAAGCAGATCTACTCGCTGCAGCAGCACAGGACGTGTTCCGAAACAGCGGCATCGCACCTGCTTTGGTCGACACAGTTAATGTAGGACAGGTGTACGGGGTAAGGTATTGCCTATAATGGAGGAGTACAATTATTCCGTAAGATGGGACTTAATATCGATATTTCTATAGATAAGTGGTTCCGCGGACGGTGGGTTGTCAGCACGTCACGCAGCCCTGAAGTCAGGGGTGCCGGAGACGCGACCCGCACTCGCCGTGAATAGACTATGCGGCTCCGGATTCCAGGCCGTCATCAACAGTGCGCAGGTAAACAAGAATATTCTAAAAAATAAAGTGCTGTCACTTAAGAAACAAAATATTTCAGTATACTCAACTGTTTTCCAGGACATACTTACGGGGACCGCGCAAATCTCTCTTGCAGGTGGAACAGAGAGCATGTCATTAGTACCTTACGTGGTGAGAAACGCTCGTTTCGGAATACCACTTGGTTCCTCCATAGAGTTTGAAGACGTGTTAGGCAAAGGCTCTGTTGATACCTATTGCAATTTCAACATGGCGGAGACTGCTGAGAACTTAGCAGAGAAGTTCAAATTGAAAAGAGAAGAAGTGGATGAATTTGCTTTGCTATCGCAGCAGAGGTGGAAGAAGGGTTAGTTTGCACTATATTTCAACTAATCAGAGTCAATAACCTAAAATAAACTTTGATGTCTGACAATAAGAGTCAACCTTGCGCGCTTCTACCCAGTCTAAGACTTGGGGAATCTGGAGATCACAGATCAAGGGCGGATCCACCTTTGGTTCCAAGGGGGGTCACATAGTCGTGGTCAAGTCAAGAGCTTAACAAAATATGGAAATACATTTTGTCAAGCTCTTGACAAACCAGCTCAGAGGGGCGTCATGACCCCCACCCCTGGATCCGCCCTTGTCGGGATCTTAGATATCGTTAGAAGGACAAGGAATTACGCAAGCTTTGTTACGACTGTTGCCTTTTTTTCGTTTGTGTTGTCCAATATTTATGTTGCCTTACTTGTTACGTGGACTTTTGTACATCGTTCGACGATTTCTTGTTTTAATTCTCAATTAACTGTCAACTTTTCAAGCACACGACAGCGGAGTGTTCAAGGCAGAGCTCACACCGGTGACCGTGAAGGTTAGGAAACGGGAGGTAGTGGTGGATAAAGACGAGCACCCTCGGCCGGAGACCACGGCGGAGGGTCTCGCAAAGCTGCCGGTGCTGTTCAGGAAAGGTGGCGTGCTGACTGCTGGCAACTCATCGGTAATTATAATTATACGAACATCGTAACAAGAACAAGTATTTTATGCACTCAGATTTGTTAAGTAACTCTTAGCTACCAACTAATCAAAAGGCTAGAAAGATTGGGCGCACACCTCAGACTAAACTATCGCAAATAGTTGTGCGATTGTCGATTGTTTCGCAGCCAATTCAACTGTTTAGTTGCACAACTAAAAATCGAGTAGTGTGCACACCTCTATTTAAGCTTATAGGAATCAAAGTGCGACTAAACAGTTGTTCAATAGTTTAGTTGTAAGAGTTAAAAATGTACTTAATATTCCTTCATATTCTTCTTGGACTATAAAAGTAGTACTTATGTAGCAGATTTTTACTTATCATTATTCTGTTAGGGTGTTAACGACGGCGCTGGTGCGTTGCTGTTGGCAAGTGAAGAAGCAATGTGCAAGCATCAGTTGTCGCCCCTCGCGCGGCTGGTGGGGTGGTCGTACGTGGGCGTGGACCCCAGCATCATGGGCATCGGCCCCGTGCCCGCTATCGAAAACCTCCTCAAAGTTACCAATATGAAACTGGACGATATTGATCTTATCGAGGTATGTTAACATAACGCTATTATAATTCTTGTGTTTTATACCTTTTTAATCTATAATAATATTATAAAAAGAATATAATTGTATTTTTGTCTGTATTAATATAACTCAAAAACTACTAGGAAGAGTATAGTCGGACGAAATTGCAAACAGCTAGAATTTAATAATCTGTTAACATATTTAACACTAGCTGTTGCTCGCGACTTCGCCCGCGTGAAATTAAAATAATAATAAAAATTTTTTGAAATCGGCCCAGTAGTTTTTGAGTTATTTCAATACATACAGAAATACAAATCTTTCCTCTTTATAATATTAGTAGATAGATATAGATCTCCATAAGGCATCATCTTCATCGATTATTTTTAAAAAATGATAATAATTATTGTCACTATAATTTCTAGATTAACGAAGCGTTTTCGCCTCAGACACTTGCTTGTGTGAAGAGTTTGGGTATCGATCAGAGTCGTTTGAATGTGAACGGCGGCGCCATCGCGCTGGGGCACCCCGTGGGGGCTTCGGGAGCCAGGATCACCGCACATTTGACTCATGAGCTCAGGTATCAATAACTTGGATAGAATATAGATTTATTCTAAAGACAAAATAGTGTACTATTGTGGCGAAAGGTTGGGTCGCTGGCAACTATGAGTATCGACTTGTAAAACTCTTGTATAAAATCATATTGTCTCATTCCATGACATGAAAGGGACAACAATCGTGTAAACACGGTTGTGACAGATTGCATTATTTTTTTCCAGGCGCCGAGGTCTGAAAACTGCAATAGGGTCCGCTTGTATTGGAGGTGGTCAAGGCATCGCACTTCTTCTGGAGACTGTTTAAAATAATTTAATAAAATTGTTTAATTTCATATGATTTTTAATTAACCTAAAATCAATACATTACAGATAAAAATAGTTTAATTTCGTTATGATCCAAAAAAGATGTCAGTTTCCATTTAAAATATGAAGGTGAATCTCACAAGGTCATCAATACTATAAAGTAAAATTTACATAAAAATAACGTTATATCAGAACGTGGTTGTGATAACAGATATCATTATCTGTTTGTTGACAACATAAACAAGTATTCAGTTCCGTGGACCGGTTTGGAACGGGTTAAATTTAGGCTTGATGGCGCTAAACTGCAGAGGTAATATTTAAAATAAATCTTACCTATAATTCTATTTAACCTAAAAATTACATGCATTACTATTATTATTTTCATTTAATATTCCATCCTTGAAACGGTTAAAGTATGTTAGTAGAATATTAAAGAAATCTTAACATTTCTTAATTTAACCACATCATTGGTTTTTAAAAACATTGAAACGTCGGTGTTACCATGTTTAATAAACATAATACTTTGAGTTTTTTTTTTAATCAAAAGGTAAAGCCATTCGTAAATATTCAAAGTATTTAATTAAAATATTTCAGGTGTATTTATTGTTGGAGCAAAGAGAACTCCTTTTTGCAGTTATGGTGGACCTTACAGAGATTTACCTGCATCGCATATTTTCGCTGAGGCGGCAAAGGATGCTATACATTCGGCCAATATAAAAGCAGAAATAATTGATAACACCGTAGTCGGGAACGTTAACTTTGTGAGTATTCGTTAATTTTTTTTAGTTGATGATTGATTACTGCAAAAGGCTTGTTACATTAATTTTTTTCTGGCCATAGCTTAGTCAGTGCGATGGCGGGAAGACTCCTAGGTATTGTGGTACGTATTCCGGAGTTCCTTTAGATAGACCAGCGTTAGGAGTCAGCAAGGCTTGTGGTACGGGACTGCAAGCTGTTATAACTGGTACTATAGTAAGTTGAAACTCTTATATTTTACTTAATTAATTCTTTTTATCCGATGAAGTTGTATCCTTTGTAGCATCTCTGTTCTTTCTACTTTACGTGTTCTTTTAGGATATTTTAACAGGTTCATCCAAAGTAAGTTTAGTGGGTGGGACTGAACTTATGTCATCTCTTCCAATGTTGGTCCGTAACGTAAGATTTGGGACCACACTCGGTGTCAAATACCAGATGGAGGACCATATAAAGAAACAAATAATAGACAGCTACTGTGGTCTAAGTTTGGAAGAGATAGCTGAGCTTGTGGCGAAGAAATATAAATTATCAAGAGACGAAGTAGATCAGTACGCGTTGCAGAGTCATTTAAAATGGAAATTAGGTGAGACATTAAACGTGCGAAATAGATAAACAATACAAATGTTTCATAAACCAGCGTCAATTATTGTTTTATTCCTTCAAGATTAGTTTTAACTATACGTTTATTTTCTTAATTTCAGCTCATGGAGATAATGTGTTCTGTGATGAAATTACACCAATAAGTGTAAAGGCTAAAAAAGATATAATAATAGACACAGATCAAATACCTCGATTAGATTTAACCGCGCAAGAATTATCAATTATTCCGCCAACAGTAGACGACGGAACAATAGTTACAACTGGCAACTCTACGGTTGGTAATATTTACAAACTTAAAAATACGAATTTTGGAGGCTATATTCTATCGATATATAAACAAATTATTTTTACTGCTACGTATCAATAGTCAATTTCATACCTACCAAACCTACCAAATACGAGTAATGGTAGATTTTTAATTCTAACAGAATGTTGTTAAAGGTTCCTGCAGATGGTGCTGCAGCATTGATAGTAGCTGATGAAGAATCAGTGAAGAAGCATGACTTAACACCATTAGCGCGGCTTGCGGGTTGGGCGTGCGTCGGTGTACAACCAGAACAAGCTAGTTTAGGCGCCATTCCCGCCATTCAGAAGTTACTTGCTGTCACTAACAAAAAAATACAGGATATCGAATTATTAGAGGTACGCAAATGTCAACTTTAAGAGGAAGATTGTAAATTGTATTTTCCCGCACTTTTACCTACCACAGATTATCCAAAACTTAAGACAGACTATAACACTTGCTTTAATTATGGCTTAATTAATAGCTTTTTTTATTAGATTAATGAAACCACAGCGATACACGCATTGGCGACAATCAAAGAACTGAATATAGACCAAAGCAAAGTGAATGTGTGTGGTGGGGCATTGTCGTTGGGACACCCTGTAGCCGCCACCGGAGCTAGGATGGCAACACACTTGGTGCACCAGATACGGTAAAAGCAAATCTTAATTCTCTTCTTTAAAAAAAAAATCAATTTCATTCTATATTCTGTAATTATAGGAAAAAATAAATTGCATACAGAATGAAATTGCGGAATCAGAGTTCCGTTACAACCCTAGTTGAAATATCATAAGTGTAAAATAATATCTCTCTAGGCAAAATTGGTCAACTACAACATTAAAATGATTTTAGGAAAGGTAATAGCAAGACGGCAGTGGCAGCCTCCAGCTGCGGAGGTGGACAAGGCGTTGCTTTGATGCTGGAAGCAGTTTAAACAATCTCATTAAATGTTTATAAAAAATGTGAAAATCTATTTAAAATAAAAGAATAATTCCAGTATGTTACTGTCTTTATTTATAGTTAACTTGATAGGTTAAATATTTTCATTATTTCAGTTTCAACATTTATTTCCATACATACTGTAAAGTAAAGGAATCCATTTACTGACAATCATTAGGTTATCAATTATTTTCTTTTTTTAATCTATAATTAACCATGTTTTAGTTAATATTTTGAATTGATAACATTAAAACCCAAAGGCAGCAATTTTTCATTGAAATTTATTGAAAAAGAACCTTAACCATCTCTTCTGTATTTATAACCAAGTGTCATAAGTCTTAATATTACTACTGTAATAAAATATTTACAAATGAATTAAATTACGATATAACATAAATGAAATGTAGAACACATTGAGTGCCACCAACTGGCATTGTAACTCGAGACATGAAAACTGCAGTAGCATTTTATTATATAAAAAAAAATATTATTAAGTAATATATCTTACTGTCATAATTCAGTACTTTTATGTTTAAACAATAATTAAATGACAATCTCCGTGTTTGATTTAAGTTAAAGTTTCTCCCTTAGTTACCTGAAAATTAGAATATTTCATATAACTTATCAATTATTAATATTAATATTCATTTATTACAAGTTTACTGATGTTAATAAGATTTTTATTGGATTAGGTACTTACACAAGCTTCCAAGTAGTCAATTTTTCTTTCTAATGAAGTCAATTTTTCATTTAATGTTGCAAGTCGAGATCGACAAGACATGTCTGCAATGGGATATCAAGATTTGATTGCTCGTTTCCATACACAAAAAACAATAATTAAATTAACAAAGTATACAAATAATACGCTTTGTTTACTTACCGAAGGAGTTAAGGAAATCAGTTATCTTTTTAATACTTCCTGTGATAACTTCAATGTATTCCCTGTTCGCCCAATCTTGTTGGATTTGTTTTTGTATCGTTTCTCGAGGTGGAGTTGACATCGTATGAGTTGGATATTAGGGGTGTTATATTAAGAAGTTTTTAGACACACGAACATAAATAGCACAAAATTGTAATCGAATAAAATCACCCTTTTTCTAAAACAAATCTTTATTTCACACTCACAAATTAAATGTCAGACTCAGATGACATTTGTCATTCTTATTTTATGTGTTCTATTCTTGTTTTATGTGTCATGATGTGGTTTGTGTTGCCAAATGTAAATGTTTAAAAAAGACAGTGTTTTTATTTGCTGTTTTTTGTGTTTAAATAAATGTTTTGCTTTTTTTACAACGTTCAAGATTCAAATTCGTAAAATTGTTAAACAGTCGCAGTGAAGATGCATGAAACCGAACGTATTAATTTATTGACAGACATCAGCTGGATTTGAAATTATCAGATGTCAAAGTTAATCAAATAGGTTACGTGTAAAAACATCTGTTTTTAATTTATTTACTAATATAAACGACTGAATATGGATGAAATTGAATATAAACTGAAAACCAACAATAGTGTCTTAATCGTTAATGCTATTGACAAATTAATTTCCACAATAAAATCAAAATATCAGCCGGCTGAAAGACAAAAGTTCGTGTTGGAGAACGAAGAACTTAAATTTTTGAGAGAAAAATGTTCTTCAGAGAACACTCTAGTCAGTCTTACTGCATACCAGGGTCTACTAGCACTGGTAGAGTTTGGAGTATTAGAAATTGGGCACACTATGTCCACTGTTATAACCTTACTTCCAACTGCACAGTAAGTCAAATATTGTTATGTTTTTTAATTGTATAATGTCGTCATCAATTCATGCACTTGCCAACAGTGTGGTGAATAGGCCACCTGGCCAGCGCTGGTTGTCTTATGTTTAAATGTCTTCATTAAAATTTGCAGGTTGCATCAAAATGTTTTCCTTCACCAACAAATATTAATTAGAATTCATCTTTCATTTGTAGTAACTACTCAGCAACAATATCAACAATGACTGGTTTGTTGATACTGGATTTACGATCTCGTCTTATTCCCGGTCAACCATACAAATGCCAGTTCTCAGTCAAATCTCCGCAGCATCCTCTAATATCTGTGCTGGAGAAAAACAAAGATGCTGAAGATGACGTTCTCGCTCAAATGCATGCTTTGTGCACACACCCTGAGTACAAGTAAGTGTCAATAAGTAAAATGGTAGTCTTAGTGAAAAAATAATTTTAGGACCTATTAAACTAAAACTTAGTTTATGCATAAAACGCAGTTGACTAGCTTCCCTCAAATCCAACTTGGAATATAAAAGACAAAAGAAAGTAGCCTATGTGTTCTGTAAGTTACTCTACATTCACAAATTTCTTTGAGATCCATTCAGCAATTTAGGCTACAAACTCTAACAAACATCTATCTACTGATCTACTGACTTTCACATATTTTACAACATTTTCAGATAAAATGTCAATCAAAACAATTCTTTTTGTATAGATATTGTGCCAGTTATTTACAGTCCTAATAAAGTTTTTTAATATAGAAAGAATCATTTATTTTTACATTTCGTAGGATCTCATCAAATAGTTTAGAACTACTTCGCTCAGTGTTCTTCTGGCTGATGTGTAATCCGCATCGACAGTGTGCAAGCATCCGGCCTTGGCAGATGTTGCTCAGCTTACCGCAGACAGCTGCCCAATCCGCACTACTCCTTGACTGTGTCTCCTGTCAACAGGTCAATGGTTATAAGTTGTCAATTAAGTAGTAGTTGAAAATGCTTTATAACCAATCTAAATATTGACCCCTTTGAAGATATCACACAACTGTTTAGTCTTGCTTTGATTCCTATGAGCTTGTATGGAGGTGAATACTACTCAATATTTAGTTGTGCAACTAAATAGTTGAATTGGCTTAAAAACAATCGACAATCGCACAACAGTTGTGCTATGGTTTAGTCAAAGGCGTGCTCCCGCTCTAAATGTGAAATATATTTACTAATAATTTATTAAATACGAGCTGTTGCCCGCGACTCCGTCCGCGTGGTATTAGAAAACATACGAACTGTATAAATTACAAAAAGTTACGTATCCCTCGGGAACCGTACATTTCTCGGGGATGAAGCTTATCCCATGTGTACTCCAGACTTTGTTTTATATCTGTGCCAAATTTCAATAAGATATGTTGAACCGTTGCGGAATGATCGAGTAAACATTAAAAACGAATTTAATGAATCCCACGGGAACCGTAACTATTCCCGGGATAAAAGTGTTCTTCCAGACTATGCTCTAAACCTGTGCCAAATTTCATGGAGATCTGTTCAGCCGTTTAGGCTACAAACGCTAACAAACATCCATCCATCCATCTATCCATCCATCCATCTAAACTTTCGCATTTATAATATTAGTAAAATTAGTAAGATGGCCTTATGCCTTTGCCCTGCATCATCATTTATGCAGATAACAATTAAGTTATGTATTCTTCCAGATTATGTTCTACATGTGTGCTAATTAATTGAGATACCTTTAGCCATTCTGAAGATTCTGAAGAGGATTTTTGCATTTATAATATTAATATGATATCAGCAAGAGTAATATTACAATTAACAGAGCTATCGCTTTTAGTTTTATACTCTATGGTACATTTAGATATGCAATCCGGCGTTGTTAGAGCGCGCGTTCGCGGCGTACAGCGCTGTAGTGGATGCCTTCATCTACCAGCAGCGGAGAGACTATGTGATGGCGATGCTGCCTCTCCTCGCCAGGATCTCCAATGAGATGCTCAGACATGGGTAAGTTGTAGTAGTAATTAGTATGTGAAGTACAGTCGCGGAATCCCGCGGTGTCCCACTTAAGGAAATGCCCTTGTTCATTGCAAGAAGACAAACACCTCCACTTCCAACAAATCACTAATTATGTAGCAGAGGTAAATGTTAGTTTGTTCTTATGTCCATTTTTATTCTTCCCCGTATTGTTATAAGACATTCAGAATACCTGAATTAAAGAACGTGAGAATTGAAATTGCAAAAAATAATGTAAAAACTGAGTTCCAATCTGACCTATTTTTTTTAATCTGAATTTTTTTTTGATGTTTCCGAGTATTTTCGTCTATTAGATTTAGTCGGTCACTTTTTTTTAATCAAGTTTATATTATTAATATGAAGATTGTTACGACATTGACGTATCTACATAGATTATTGAGTGTAAATTAACGTTCCTTTTAGACGGGACCCTCGTGCGTGCTACAGCCTGATAGAGAGGTGCTTCGCCCTGGAGGCGCCTGAGCTGCGAACAGTCGCTGGCTTCACTGTCCTACTGCTGGCTGACAACCTTACACACAGCTCTGCGTTGTACCTACATGAACTATTTAACTTGTGTAAGTGTGTGATGCCAGTGGCTTGCAAGCTAGCTACTGGCACGTGCTAGTATGATAATATGATAGCTACGGGCGAACGCAACGGGTCAAGTCTAGTCTTGTATGACCTTGTGAACTGTCATGCAATCTGTAATTTTACTGGCATGTGTATTCCCGCTTTTAGTTGAGTAATATACATTATTGTAGGGTTTTTTTTAATCCTGACAGTAGGCAATAATAATATGATATAGGAAATATTTGGATTTTTTATGTATCAAACTCAAAAACGACTGTACAGATTACAAATATTCTTTTACCTTTAAAAAGCTACGCTAAGTAACATAGGCTATATATATTACAATACTAGCTTTCACTCGCGACTCCGTCCGCGTGGAATAAAAAGAAACAAAAGTAAGTAGCCTATATGTTCTTTCAGACTGTGCTCTACATCTTTTCTGAATTTCATCGAAATCCGTTCAGCCGTTTAGGCTACAAACTCTAACATACATCCATCCATCTAAACTTTCACATTTATAATATTAGTAAGATTTTTAATTCCACGGGGACGAAGTCGCAAGCAACAGCTATTTCTATACTTAATATTAAAAAGGGGAAAACTTTATTTGTTTTGATTGTAATGAAATAACTCAAAAACTACTGGAAAAATTTCAAAAATTCTTTCACCATTAAAAAGCTACGTTGTAGTGAGTAACTTAAGCTATGTTTTATATTAATTTTTAATTTCGCGTCAAGAGTCGCGGGCGAAAGCTAGTATTGTATAAAATGTGCATTGTTTTTTGTTTAAATGTATTATTTTTCTTCCAGGTTTAAATATAATAAGTAAATATGACTACTCATTGTTGAGTTTAAACGTATTTACCGCGTTATCCCTGCAGTGGCTCCATCTGCCTTCGTATTTAACAACAAATGCATTAAAAGTAGCGTCAAGTATAGTTGATATATATAGAACTGGGAAAAAAGAAGACAGCGGTCTATATATGCCTAATTTAAAAGCAAACAAAATATTCCAAACATTATTATATACAGACGGACATCTTTACAAAATGTTCAAAGTTATAGAAACGTGGGAACGATTGAGAGATGACCCTAAAAAATTGAAAGATTGGTTTGAATCATTAACAAAATCAAATGATGATTTAAAATTAGATATCTTACCTTTCTTTGTTAGTTTGATATTTGAAAAGAGGAAAGATTTTGAGGACTTTATTGTGAAGGCAATAAGGGTTGTAATTGAACTGGTTGATGTGAAAAAAGAATTGTCAGTTACCGTACTGCCTATTTTAATGTATGTGATAGCAAATGATCCCCAGCCTAGTGTGAAACTGGAATGCTTGAGGGGTCTACCTTTAATGGCTAAAACAAAGGTAAATAGAATAACCACTGTAACGTGACACTTACGTTATAAGACTATAACTTTTTTTTTGTTTTTTTTTTTTAGGAAAATGTGCCAACTATCGTTAATATTTTAAATAAATTGAAAACAAACAAAGGTGTTCCTACTTCTGTTCTTATAATGCTATATACAAGTCTGGCTGAAACTCAGGTAACTTATTTTTTATAATTTTAGGAAATATTGGGTTCTATGTAAATGATTGTAACTCACAATTCTGACATTTGCGTAATCCTGTTTGTTTTTAGAAATAGAACAAGAATTTTATAATTACGATTGTCTATGGTAGCTTTAGATATGACGTAATTGTATTAACGAAAATTTCTTGCCAAGTACATACTACTCTTTTTTAAATTACGTAGAGAAGCATTTGCTTATGTATTTATAATTAGAAATGTAAACATATATCAAGTCGCTTAGTTTCTTTGACTCTCCCTGACCTTCCTTTTATTTCACTCTGAGTACCATTTAGGGATAATTTTGAAATTACCGACGCCCCAAGCGAAATTAGAGCACCCTTAACTCTTATATGGACACACAAAAAGCGCGCGTGTCTATGCATCTGATGCGCCCTTTATGTCTCACGCCCTGGGCGATCGCCCTTCCTCGCCCTACTCTAACACCGTGTTATTCCCTGTCTGCGTCTCTTTCATGTTCATGTTATATAGGTGCGTTGTTTCCCGTACCTACAAGAGTTGTTGGCGGAGGCGCGCGCGGGCAGGCCGGACGACCTCAAGTGGGAGGTCGACGTGGCCAAAGCGCTCGCCGTCAAACGCATCTGTGAATTGAGGTTAGATTAAAAAAATATGAAAATTAGCCTAAAATAACATTATCCGTTGAAATTCTAACTTTAAAATTTGAGATAAATTAACAGAAAATATTGTATTTGCAGTGAATTTAATTTTTATCGAGGTTCCTATGTAGACTAGACTCGTGAGTTACAATTTTGCATTTGCATTTTGTTTTATGTTTGTAAAATACTCATTTACTGTGAAAATTTGAAAGTAACGTTAGAAAGGAAAAATGTAGGAAAACATCGTACATCGTTGTTACCATATTAAAGCTTCTTGCAAAATATATATTTCAAAGATACGATGGTTTACATAGGAGCCATTTATTTGCGTTTTGTCATGATATTTGTGTTCCCCAGGCCATCTAGCCACGGTCTAGAGCTAGTGTCGGTGATTTCGTCGATATTAAACAAGTGCACCGACCGGAGCGGCGCGGCGGCCAGCTCGCTGTCGCTGGGCGCGCTGGCGGCGCTGTGGCGCGGCGCCGCGCTGGCCCCGCCCGGCACCTGGCGCGCGCTCGAGCCGCGCCTCGCTCGGGACTCCCGCACACAAGTACAGATCAGGTAAACTTAATGATTAGATTTCGCTCGCGACTCCGTCCGTGTGGAATTTAAAAAAAAAACAAAAACGTGTAGCCTATGTGTTCTTAGACTGTCCTCTACATTTAGGCTAAATTTCATCGAGATCCGTTCAGCCTACTAACTCTAACAAACATCCATCTAAATCTCATTTATAATAGGAATTTATTTATATGATGTACTTATATCTTAAAGATAACAATAGTAGTAATTATGATAATATACACCTAACAATAAACAGATATTTAATTATTTAAAAAAATCAGGCTCAGACAATTTCTATTTTTTTATAAAAAAAAAAATATATTTCTAACCAAGCACATACAATTCAACGGACTTATGTCGTGCAGATTTTTATTATCTATACTATTAGAATAAAGCGTAAACACACACTTCTTTGTTGCCTAAGATGTCAACAATACAGCATATTTTTGAATAAATCTTTTTTTAATACAAAGCCTTACACTTACGTCACGTTTTAGGCTATATATTTTCACGCCATTAAACTTAGGGGGTAAATATTTTGGATAAAAACCGTAATGTGGGAAAGAGACCATAAGTTACTGCCAACCTCAAGGAAGCAAGGTTGCCATAGTAAGGTAATTGGTATTTTGACATTTGCAATTGAGAATTTGACAAATGCAAAAAATGAATTTATAATTTCATGAGGATGAAGCCGCACGCGAACAGCTAGTAACTAAATAATTAAATTAAAATAGCAGAGTTTTACCTACCATTAAAACTCATATTATGTCCGGAGCCTTATTCGAGGCCTTGTAAACAATATTGAGATGACAGTCTG